TATTAATTTTTGTTACGCAATCGTGTCGCGCGTTTTGTGGTGAAGCACTGAAAAATATTCGTTTTGTCGACTATGGGTTATTCGATTAATCTAGTTTGTTGTAATTATCTCAATATATAACACATTATCCTCATTATATATCAATATTTGATGTAAAACAAATGATATCGCATTTTTCGCAGATACCTATTACACATCATATGATATATTCGTTACACGAGACCAACCGTAATTGCTATTCGTTACTGAGCGTTGTTTGGCACAAGGAAATACGAGCAATGTTGCCATTTGGAATCTATCCAAAGTTGTTATCAAGATCTCTGCCATTGCATTCGCCGTTATAATATGCGCCCGATCATGCAAATATCGCATCTTCCAATTGGTTATATGTAAACACAGCGCCGAAAAATGTTATATTATTCAATTTTTACTCTATAGCTGAAAAAGTAATATTTTATATTAAATTTTAACATCAACGTTCAACATTTATTTAATATAGGAAAGCGCGCACACTATGTATTTTAAAGGAATTAAATTTTTATATAAAATGTAGGGTTTCTAAAATAGCGGGATTTTAGAGGTATTATTTATACGTTACATATCTCTCGAAACCATTTGTCGAGTTAAAATTACGAAGCACAGCAAAATTTGATAAACGAGAGGGCCGAGAGGTCGAATCAAATTTCATTTAACCGCGACATTTTATGCGTCGCCGACGCCAAGTCATAACGAAAGCGCGAGGAGAAGCCGGCTAACGAGAACAAATTTTTATTTCGCGTTCGTCTCCACCCGTGAAGATAAACTCATTTTACGGGCGGGGAGAAACAGAAAAATCCGGATGGCGCCGCATTATTCCCTGGCAAAAGTTGTGTGTCGTATGATATAGGTAAACTGGCGGTTAAAAGTTTATCCCATCGTCGGAAATTTGTTGTCGGACTGCTGATTACAGTTATCAAATTGGGTATGTCAGTCGTTTCTTAAAACAAGATGTTTAATTATATACATTCAGCATATACGAGTAACGAAAACTGGGTAAAAATATCATTCGGTTTCTTTCCTCAGAAATCACTTAAAATTATTTATGAAAGAGATAACGATATATATATATATATATATCTCAAAAAAATATTGCGCTTATAATTTTTTATCAAATTCTTTCATATAAAAATTCTAAAACCTTTTAAACTTTTTGTGTTTCGAAAATTTAATTTATTCATTTACGGAAAACTGCAAAAATTCTTTCTATATTATAGACAAGATACGTACACGCGCAGGGGAAATGTAAACGTTACAAACTAATACGGCGTGCAACGAGAGCTGATTTCTCTGATGGCAGCTGTCACGCGTAGTTCGCCGTCAAATGTCAGTCCCTGAGATAAACAAAAGAGGAATGACGCGGTTGCGTCGGACAGTTGCACGCGTCACGTGCATCGATAATACTCCTTGCAGCTGCGCAGAAACGTTGCCGATTCGTGAATAAAGCTATTTCGGATTCGTGTACGAAATATACGATCTCGATAAATGCACCGCTACTCTGAAAACTAATAGATATATATAAGCGAGGGCGAGCAGACGTTCCCCCCAATTCGCGCGCGTTACGCATCCCAATGTTGCACAACGGATCCGACGGCTACAGTAATGTCGCAGTGGAAGAGAAGCGGTCAAAGTGGGAAGGATATTGAATCACGGAGAATAATATGCGCCGCCGCGAAAGACGTTTAGATTTTCGTTATTCTGGTATGTTATCGTGCGTTGATTCGTATTTAAAGATGAAATTGCGATATACGATGTGATTATAGGAAAAAGAGATCTATTTTTTTCTACTGAAAACTTATATATAATTGTAATATAAATAAATAAAGATTTGCAATTATATTAAAATTAATTTTTTTTAATTATCTTAGTTTAATTTCTCATTAATTTTATTTTATACAATAGAATTGTACCATCTTTGTTTCGACTTGAACGCGTTGATTTGAAAATCAATCTTAACCGTGGTTGGTTCTAATCTTCGATTTTGTATAACGCATTTATATTCGCGATACGAGGTATCTTTCTTATAATATCAAAATAATCGAGACAACGTGGGATGCAAAAGTCTCGCCATGCGAGCGCTCTACACGCTGCAAAGGGTTAATATTCGATACGCGCGCGAGGCTTTTCCATTCTACCCTTTTACTTTCGAGCTCGCTCTCGCTAAGCAAGCACTGGCTGCTTTCTGCGTGTGCATGTTTGCGTGCGTAATCTTGCCGCTGGTGCATCCATGCATCGCGCCACCTATTGAAATCGAATTAACATCCCTTTACGTTCGCTCAAGGACACTTCAGGTCGGCAATCCAAATTGTTACGCTGTGACTCAAAGCGTCGCACGGGCCCTTGAGCAGGGCCCACGTTCTCTGTATGATCACTGGAGCGGAAACGACATCCCGCGCTAATACACGCTAACTTTCGGGATGTGAAATGTAATTGCCGATATTGCTCATCGTATTCTCGGATGACTGCTTAGCACGATAATTGATTAGAATCGCACGGTTAATATAAAGAAACTATGAACATTTTGCAACGTATTTTGCAATATTCTTTGCAAAATCTTGTTATTTCTGTGAATTGAAAAACTGTAACATATGACGATGAAAAGTCCGAATAGTCGCATTAAAATTAACATTGCAAAATGTCTTTCCCCGACGAGTTATCTATTCGATGAATTTTTTCATATAGCGATAATTTTAAATTAAATAGATTCATTATTATGTTGAAACTTTTGGACGGATAAAAATAAAGTATAAAAAATGGGGTTTTATTTTCCTATTTGATTTTACATCTCACACATGAATAATAATTTTCAATTCTTACAAAGATACGATATATTTATACGTATGGTTTTTTTTTTTATAATTGATTTCGAGTTATTTCTCAGAGATTGATTGCTCCGCAAGATGAAATTTCTAGCAGGTTTTTGCGTAAAAATGGCGTTTGCCATTGGCGATTCCGAGAACTCATTATTGGCTTTATTAGCAATACAAGCCGGCGTATCGGCGATCCTGAACGTTTTCATTTGGCGGAAGTATTAACCGTGCCCGATTATTTCCGGCTGTTTACTTCCGCGCCGCGTGGTCAAGGCAAGCAATTAAACTGTGCAAAACTCAGCCTCAATTTGTGTTGCTCCAATTTGTATCGCGACAATGAGTACCTAGCCTCTGCACAAACAACCATACTTTTTGCCGCGATATAAAATAGAGCCCCTACTAACACCACAGAATTCGAAATATTACAAAGTATTTTATTTTAAATGCTATCAAGCGATTTTCTTTTAGAGACCGATTATAAACTGGAAAATTGATATCTCTAAAGCAACTATAATTTTTTTTTTCAAGTATTATCACATTATTTCCCAATATCAATTATTTTAAATCGGTTAAGGAAAGATTAATTCTCAGAAACAAGAAATTGGCTAAAAATATATAAAAAAAGATGTATTATCATATTAAAAAATAATTTATCAACTTAATTACTTCCTATCATTTCGAATCTGTCTTTTTGTATTTTAGTTTCCCTAAGTTTCAAGCATATAAGTAATCAAATAATTATTTATAGCTTATTATACCATATTTACTACATATGTGTACAACGAACGTTACACCGTGTTGTCTGTAGTATAGCTTAACGTTTATTAAGGTTTAATAACGTTTAGCTTAGCTCTCGCTGTTCAATGTTATCTGATAGCGCTACGCTAACTTTTTAATGGATAATGAACCTGTTATCGTCCCAACCGTCAGATATTTAAATTTGTTGGTTAATTACATGGACTTTATTTTTCATTCGATTATTACCTATGTGATTTTATCCCAAATTACGCTGTTTTCCCAAGGGTAGTTATTTTGCTAATTTCAAAACGAGTATTTCTTTACATCTATTTTATAATGGTTGTACATTCTACATGATAATTAATATGTGCAAAATGTATACTAAAGCTAAAACAGCAAAAACCAATTTATTCGACTGCAATCGACAGCTAAATAATAAACAGTTTCGAAACTGATTATTTAAACCTCCAAAAACACATTAAATATTCTTAAATATACACGTGTGTGCGTACAATACACACATACACATAATAGAAAAAATTCTTTTAAATAAGAATATGTAAAAATGTTATAGTATTTGTTTTAAAAATGTATTATTTAGATACAATATGCATTATAATAAATTATCTATCGCGTTATTCCCGATTCCTTCGAGTTTAGAATATTTAACTTCCTCGCTTCGAAAGGGGGAAAAGAGAAAGGAAGATACCACTGCTCTAAGAGCGCCATTTTCCTTTAAGAACGATCGAGAGACTTACGAGGATCGTTCTTGTCTGAGGGCGATCGCATGGGGCGCCCGTTATTCGAACGCGTTTGAATGAAATTCCGATCGCCCGCCTGCAGCCTTTGTCCTGAAGGTGATCTCGCCCCGTATGCCGGCTTTTCGGAATTTATCGGAATAATTGGATTCATTCCTCCCCCGCGTGGTGATTGGCAAAAGAATCATTACGACGGTCGATATCCCGGAAAAAAACGTAACGCATGCTTACACCAGTGTTTATGACGTGGCCCAAAAAGCGCTCACGCGCACAGAATTTTCGGCCTTCAATCAAATGTATCACGAATATACAGAGTTTCAAACTCACTAACTTTCTTCCCAACGATGAATGCCAGAGAGATTAAATCTTATTAAAATTTTAAATTTATCAAAGCACAGAAAAAGCAAAATTAAAACCGATATTAATAAAATATGAATAAAGGAGTCTTTGTCAATTTGTATGCTCCGCAAATTACACGCACAGACTAATTAATTTATCTATTGCTCTTGTGTGTGTGTGTGAATCAAATCCCCAATAATTTTTTTATATAAATGGCGTTGTGCGATAATATTGCTCGCTGACTGTTTCGTATTGTGACGCAGCTATGTTTCGAAAATAAGCCAGTCATCGCTATTTTCAACTATCATCTGGTACTCACAGTGCACTTGCAGCTTCCATCGGTCTTCGATACCGGCTTCCGGTAGTTTCGGATTCTCGGCACGACACACCAGGAACTTTCCCTCGTCCTCCACTGTCGGCGTGAATTGTAGCAGATTCATACCGTCCTGCAATTGTAAATAACAATCATTCGTCTTGGTTGTTCTATTAGAAAAGTGATTTGCAGAAATTTGTACAAAACTTGCTTCGCGCTTAGATGGATATAGATAGTCAAATTTTTTCATGATATTTTGATAACTATATATCAATATAATCAATATAATCAAATATAATTTTTATATTCTGAAAATTACCGTCGTTTCCGCTTGTATTGTCCCATTACGAAAATTATAATCAGGGAAAATCGCAACGCGCAAGAAGTGGAAGATAAACGATTTCATAACATTTCTGTGTCATTTTTCAATTTTTTTTCCTCCCAACTCCGCGATGGAAAATTGCGGTCGCGCCGCATTTTTGTTTTATCGTTTCGCATAACTAGCACCTCGCGCTGTTTACGAGACTTTAAACGCGATGCCGAATAGCCCGGCAAAGCGTACGTTTTATCGCAACAGCGAGACCGTACATTTTTCAAGCGCGAACAATGAACGCGTGAAATGTTTAAATAAATATGTGCGTTTTCGTTACCAGAAATGTGTGACCCCATATTTCCTCTCGCGTGCGCGCGGTTGTGGCTGCGAAAACCCAGACCGTCGAAAAATTACAGGAGATAATGCCGCTTTATTATTATCATTTTCGGAGCTCTTTCACTTACAAAACTTATATTCGAGTCTCGCGGGTCACCGCGTACGTTATATATCCGTTATTTTTTTTTATCCCTCTCGGATTCTCTCCCGGATTTTATGACGATGATCCTTTTATCGTTTATATAGGTGGCATCTCCTTTGGGAATGCCTTTGAGAATTCGCGAAATCGATGTCGGATCCTCTCGGCAATTAGAATTCCGTCGAAAAACGCAGAAAATATTCGCGTCTTGCGTCAGCGGAAACGATTTTTCGCTATGAAAAATTGATGTAATGCAAATTACAGAATTGTACCAAATTTCGGTAACTATAGGCAACCGTTTCAAAGATTCATCCCCGTCCGGTTTAATTTCCATGACAATCGACGTCGCCACGCGGGAGCTTCCGTAATTCTTTCTTATTTCGCACGGGTTTTGCTCTCGCTCTTTTAGCCGAGAAAGATCCTTTCAACCAATTTTATTTCTCAATTTACATGTCGCAATGTTAAATCGGATTTTTTACATAACAAACTGCGATTTATTTATGGATGGTATTATTAAATCTTGATTATGAAAAATCAATATCATTTATTCTTTTTTCCTGCTATGGAAAAATATTATTAAAATTCTATTATTAAAAAGATATTATTAAAATTATATTATATAATTATTATTATTGATATAATATTGTTATGCACACACACACACACACACACATGTGATATTTCATAATTAATCTTATACAACAATTAATCTTATGTAATTATACATTAGGGTGCATTTAAATTGGTTCATAATCACACATACTGTGCTTTAATTTAAATACATTTTTAATGTAACACGCAGAGAGTCAATGCAAAATTAACAAGAACGAATACAAGTAACAACGTGGCGCGCTAATGGAAATAATTTAACTACAAATTTTTAATATATTGTAGTCCTTTTTGTGAATAGTAATTGTAATAAAAAAATTACACACATACTATTTTTAAATCATCATTAAATCACTAAAATTTTTTAATACCTGATATCACGGATAAATTAAGTTTTTAAATAATTATATATGGTCGCTGCAAGTTTTTATTTATAAAATCCAATATATTGAGCGAAAGGAATAATTTTAGCATTATCCCGGCGAAAAAATGATAAAAACGTGAAAGGCAATCGCGAAGAATCTCACTCCTTAAAACGGCACGTCTCAATTTCGAATACTGTATCGACGTACGTGCTACAGAAACGCGACAGTTGTGTAACGAAAAACGAGATACACGTCGTTATATTCCAGACAAACGCTCTCGAAAAAACGAGCTTGTCCACAGAGTTCATGGCGATAGCGCTGAAATTTCGATACCGTTAGTCATGTAGATTCGCGGACAGAAAATATGTATCGATGCGCCATGTGCACTGCTTTGTATGGATGTGTGCGTGCGTATAACAAAATTCCCTTTCGGTCACATTGCATCAAAGAATTTCACGACACCTTCTCGTTATTTTTCGTTTTTGTGTATTCTTTCCGCTTTTTTCCCTTCATTTTCCTACTTGTTCTATCTAGGTTCTACATTTTGTCTGTTTCGCGCGCGAACTGATCAAAAACAATAAAGAATGAATAAACACAATACGAGTTAAAATGTGAGATTCGACGACAGCTCTGGGTGAAATTAAATTTCTGACGGGCGGCAGCCAGTCTCCAACTGCACGCCGGCTACGTTTCCGGAATTTGAAAAACTTCGAGCCGAATTTATCGGCGAAAATTCCGGCAATGTCTTAACTGACAGTACAGAATTTTCGAAATTCCTTCCCGTATGGCTAGATTACTTTGTTGCGCATGTCACGTATCTCAAATAAGATTGTATGTTTAATTACACAATTTGCAAATCATTCAATAACTAAAATAAATAGTCATAAAAACAAAATATAACATGTAGTGACAATAAGCCAAAGTAATATACAAAATAAAAAAACAAATATAATAAAAAAAAGTATTTAGGTAAAAGTAGTCAGTTTATAAGTATATTTTTTTAAGAATTATGAATTAAAAAGTAAATTAAATATAGTTTATTTTATTCATTCTAAAAAATAATGTATTTTTTCATTATTATTTTCCACGTATGTTATCATCTAACTAAGGATTTTTTTTTATTACGTCGAACATTGATCGCAAATACAAAATCTGCGTAACAAATAAACATGAATTTATAGAATGATCCATTTATCCTATATAAAATTGATATTTATTTTGTGCTCTAGAGATAATAAATGGAATGTTGACAGGATCAAGTCCGTTTGCGAAACGTAATTGTACAGGTAAGATGCAATTTGCGTAGCGTATCCGCCCTTTTGTACTACGCCGCTGTTGCGTTCTCGTCGTGAAAGGGTCCGGGATTAACTTCTTCTTACCTTCCTGATGGAGACACGGACGAGAGGAAAAGCTGTACATAGAAACAGGAACAGAGATAGAGAGAGAGAGAGAGAGAGAAAGAGAGGGAGAAAGCCCTTCCATCTTTCTGCACATATACACACAGCGCGAATGTGTACATAGGGACGTTTGTGTGTATACACAAAACCACACTCGGATCCGCCCATCCGGAAACTCGCTTGTGTCTTCAGTTACCTGGTATATTCGTTCGCAAGCAAGAAAGGTTTCACCAGGCTCTACGTCGCACATGTTAAATACATTTGTGTGGTATCACGCAGTTAACAACGTTCCTCTGTCACAGAGTCATTTGTTAGTTAGACAGCTTAAAAAGAGGCTACAATTTTCTCTCCTTTCTCTTTGTATAGATAAAATTCTTCTCCATATATGAATGTAAAAACGTATCGCTATGATTCAAAGTAAACAATATTTTGAACTCTTAAAATTCGATAATATTTATAAAAGTACTACTATAACTGTAAAAATACTATGTAATTCAAATTATATGGAGAATATGGTTTTATTATGTACTTTAAAACATTAAAATAATACCTCTATTGCACGTCTTTCTTCGGAAATAAACGCATGAAAACGCGATTATATGCTCGTATTTCCCATTTTAATATAAAGAAATGCGCGTTTTTTTTTCTCATAAGATGAACGTTCGTCGTTTGTTGTACTCGCAAGAGAGCTTTCAGGAAGCGAAATAAATCCGCGTCGTTTCTTTCAAGAGTTGCGCTCTTTCTTCTTCGTCTTCACCTGTCGCGTTAAAAGCAGACGAGCTCGACGTAAGAAAGCACGTGTGCATCAGCGAATATCTCTTTATCTCTCTTTCTAACCGACGAGATAGTAGTAATATCCTTCTTGAATCGGACGAGATAGATAGGTAGATACCGGTTTCGAAAGCCTTTTATATTATTGATGTCATAAGCAGCCGCATACATGCCGTTTGAGTATGTATTGTAAATGCGACAGATGCAACTGAGTATCATTGGTGGACTCGATAAAATTTAGTATCGTCGGTGTCGTGAAACAAAGTAACTCATTTCCTCAGGTCAAAATAGAATTTTTAGAGTATTGTGAGATACGAGAGCTTTCTATTCTGCTCTTGAACGTTTTGATTTTATTTATTTACTAATATTTCATAATTAAATTATAGATGAAACAATCAAACAAATCTTTCTCACAAATTTGGGAACACAAATACATTTTCTATATAGAAGTTCTATATAAAAGAACAAGCTTTCATCAATCGATAATTATTTAAATTATTTTGATGATTTATTGTTATATTAGTTTTCTTGTTGAAATGATATAATTTTCTAACCGCATTCTTAAGATTTTAAATGTGAATGGAGACAGACATCTTTACATATCTGTTTTCTACTGCTTTGTTCTTTTTACACATGATCTCCAAGGTTTGAGCATCCTCGAAACTTTTTGAATCTAGATAGTTAAAATTCGCTACCTTCATATAAACGCTATTTGATTTAAAGCTATTATCATTTAATATAATTCGTTTCTGCAATACCGTTCTAGTATTCGCAATTACATCCGTCTGTCCAAATGAAACTTTTAATAGAAAGCCCGCATAATGAATTCTACTATGTGCAAATCGTAAACTGCTTTCATTTCATGTGCTTTCTCGTTAAATGAGCTTTGCGCGGGATAAGCTTTTAATTTGAAAAGTGCACCGACAGATATTTCGTCTTTTGTTCGCGAGTGATTTTTGATATATTCAAAAGCGCCGAGTTTCCACGGCCGGCAAGAGAGACGAGCTTTTCAGTTTCTCTGCGTGCAGTTTCATGTGTGTGTATGTGCTTATATATATAACGCGTTTATTATTTAATTCCTATCATATTTCGCGCGCATTTGTATCACTGTTTTATTATATCTGTCTGCAAAATTTTCAGATTCGCTCGCGAATCGCGCAATGAAGCTGCGTTATGCGCTATTACAATAATTGTATTTTTGAT